TGTTGAAATTGTATTTGGAACTATAGTTTGTTACGTTGAGTTAAAACATTTTTAGAATACATAAGGAAAAACTTTTAAAATTTAAAATATAGGACATAATTTGTATTCGAAAATTTTTTTTCAAAGTTGATTATAAACCACAATAACTTTTGTATTACGAATTTTAATTTTTATGACATTGAATATTTATTAAATTTCACATGGAACGATTTTCTTATTTTCTAAATGAATAGTTGTATGTAGATACTTGACATTTTCAGCAAATGTTTATTTTACATTGTTATATCAGAGTAATATCCACTTGCCCACCTTTTTAAAAGCTGTTGATTAGAAATAAACTTAATTTATCGGAAATTCGATGATATATTTTAATAAGTCATGTTATTCTTAGATTAGATCTTAAATTTTTAATAGCATGCAATTAACAAGGCAAGTTACTCTTTTAAAAACCAAAATTATCATACAGATAGGTACTATTCACGATTTATTTTCACATTGCTTAAAATTAAAATTCTACGAGGATATCAAATGAAAAATTAGTATACAAATTTTGCTGTAATTTAAAAACTGTTATTTGTATTTTGTTGGCAGATACTTGAAACTTTCCACCACTACGTATATATTATTGTTTACTATATACACTATGAAGTTAGTCTAAAATATTTAAATTAATCTTAATCTATATCGTTTCCGGGAGGTTTATCGGTATAAGCTTATAAGTTAATAACAGCTAGGTACTATTATTATTGTATGAAATAATATTAGTAATAGTTATATATATCTAACATCCAATGGCCCAATGCAACTTGTTTTGGTAACAATTTAGTTAAACTTCCAGTATTATTACAACAAAAATAAATTACTTAGACAATATAAAATATATAAATTAAAATCTCCATAATAATATAGGCTGACGGGTGGTCTCCACCCAGAAYCGTGTTTTGTGTAGATTAATCGTTGAATTTAAATTTAACACAGACGTTAAAGTGACATACTCAATACTGTAATCTATATACAGTACACATATATATCTTAAAAACATTAAACAATATGATATTGTAATTGATAAACAAGTTTACCATTCATATCGTTTTATAACACGTCACTCAATAAAAATATAGTATCATTATTATTGTATTATAGTTGATAATAAAAATACATTGCAGTAGGTACCTAAGCTACTCGCTTTCGTAATGTAGTTACGCAAGAGTAAGACGGCTTTTTTGTACATAATTTTAATAAATTTCATAAAATGTTTTGTAACTATATGTAATATAAATCTTAGATTTCGTTTTATTTAAACTTATATTTAATTTTCTCATATAGTTATAATAATATATTATTAAATAATATCTGTCAATAGTATTTAGTTCCTACCTGCCTGTAATAATCAATGCTTAATTTTTGTTCAAAAATAAAACAAGTGGTTAACATCATTTGTCAAATTAAATGCCGAAGCCAGAATTTTATAAATATTCATCAATTAMACGCTATTTATAATTCTAAACTCAATTAAATTCTTACAAGTTACCATAGTACCTGATATTTTTGGTAAATGGGGTTGCTTTGATAACCATTCTTTGATGATATCGACATTGTCAGCGCCGACTTTTGCAATRAGTTCTTCATCCGTATAAACTTCTTGTTTTGATTCAGTAAACATTGTAGTGTTTAAACGACGTGTGTAGAAATGTTCTATTTTACTTTCTATGACCGACTAAATACTTATAAACTTAAATATATTGAGAATTACGTTATTATAAGTAGTGCATAATATATTAATACGATGAATTTGTTAATCTTATCTCTAAGAGTTTTTTCGTTTCTAGTTTCTTTTATAGTGTTTATATAGTATAATGACTAATACTGACTACTGAGAGATTACACATACAATTTATACCGAATAAAATAACTCATAACAATATGAAATATTGAAGTGCATGTTTGTACAATATATAAATAAATATCAAAAGATTTAACTGTTCCTATAGTTAATATAATTATTTGTTATGATGGAAAGTTTAGAAGTGCCAAAGTATAAATTGTAAGTTTTGATTATTCACTATTTTTTTT